AAAAGTCCGTATTAGCCAAATAAATCCCTGTGGGAGTGTTTAACCACCACCACTTGGAAAAATAAGCAAGGTCTTTCAGTCAAAAGATTTTCTTTTTGCCTAGGATCAACTGCTTTATATGGCTTTACTACCGAATATAGAAACATTACCCCATATACAAAGGCACTATTTTTAAAGATTGTGCTTTTGGAGGAAAAATAGAATTTTTTTTTCCTCCTAAAAGATCTTTTCAAATATGTATTATAAAGATTTGAGGAATTTCAGACAGGAAAAGGACCCACCAACCACTTTTTGGACTAAACTATATGTGGCTTAACTCACTAACTTTAGTGGTTTTGAGAAATCAAGGCATAACTTTATTTTAAAAAACCCACCAACCTTCATCTCTGAATTCTAGGATTATTTAGTAACTCTGGTTAAGCTATTCACTATATTTAATTCCCTACAAAAATTTTAACAGACAATTAAGAAATACTGTTCTAAAATAAGCCATGTCTACAGTAAGGCTGGCAATTCTTTTAGAAACTACAAGCAGCTGTCTGATTAAGATGACAAGCCACATGGAAACTAATGGAAACTACTTCCAGAATCAGACTTAAAGGGCACTGTTACCAACCAAATTTGGCAGACAAGGGATCATGACAAACTGTAAAGGCACGCAGCAGCACAATAAAATTTGGGAATCATCAGCAAATAAGATGGCAAACACTTGTGTCAATTCAGTGAGGGCAAGAACATAAGCAGGACAAGTTCTAAACATTAAAGGCTGTACTCGGATGAATGGCACTGTGCCATAGTGGGAGTGGAGCTGACTCTTCCATTTACAGACAGCTTGCTATAAACAAGCTGCATCGGTAAGGCAAAGTATCTGCCTATTGCAGATACCTCATTCTGACACCTATCTTTCAAAAGAACAGTTTCAGAAACATTTTAATAGTAACAACGGGAAGCTTAAAGGAGAAAGAACTAAAAGCATGACATACATAATGTAACTCTATACTTGCCTAAAAGCTGCGTTTAAGGTCAGAACTCTTACCAATCTGACGTTTATTGCTACGTAACAGAAGGCATCTAGCCTTACCTGTACATCTCTATCTTTAGATTTAATATTTTTAATACACGGTCCTCCCTATTTAAGATCACTGCACCTTCAGACAGTCTTTATGCCAAGAAGAGGGTGACTAGACTTTCAACTCAAGCAGGAAAGCCAGCATTTATAGCAGATTTGTCAAATATTAAAGGAAGATTAATTGAGTCTCATTTCTATTTCCAGGAATACTAGAGATGCACCAAGTACTGCTACACTGAATTGGAAAGGAGACAGTAAGAAATAAATTATAATTTGGTTTTTTGCATGCATCAACTCTGTCAGCAATGGAACATAAATGCAGCGAGCGAGCGCACGGAGCTCCCTTAGGAAAACACGACCAAATTCCCAAAGCCTACGTGAAGTTTAAGCTTTCTTTCTGACCGACGCAGCCCAATTTACCGAGAAGGCGACCGCAGCAGAACTGAACTCATTTATCCCCCGGCCAAGCGCTGCCTCCCCAAGCCGAGTACCCCCCGCACACCCCAGCAACTATTCACCTCGCTTCCGAGTCCGCAGCCGCAGCCGCACCGCAGCCGCAGCACAGGGCGGCC